TGAAGACAGTTCAGGGCGACGGGAGATTACTATGTATTTGAAGGCCCACTCTGTGGCACTGTCAGGGAACGCAGAAGAGAAAAAGCCTCCAGTAAGCCTTCGTAGTCTAGTAAAATTAACTGCTTTATCTCTGAAAGCAGTTGAATAACATGTATAAGAAGTTTAGGAATTTTCTCACTATTTGGAATCTTCATGTTTAGAAAAACTATAAAACATTTCAGGAAAGTGAATTCCAATGAACAACTTGCCACAAAAAAAGAAACTAATTTGGAATAGCTGGTAGAAAACATTTTCTCAGGAACCTAAGGCAGGAGCCTTGGGGGAAAACATGCTTACTAAAAGCATCTCTTTTCACGTATCCGGAATCCAACCTCCCATCTCCAGTGAGAGAAGGCTGCGTGGCCCCCTCTTCTATGAGCAGAATACCTTGCCTCTAGGAGAGTGCATCTGAATGTAATTACCTATTTAGAATTCGATCACACAATTGCTTTAAAATCATTCCCCTCGCACAAAATCCAGGGGGATCGGGTGGGGTGGGAATGGCATGTTTCTTTTGATGACTTTAAATACTTCTGACAGGTGAGATATTTCTACTGTACCACGTGATCGGCAAGCCTCTGACCTATGGTTCTCGTCTCTCAGAATTTCTCTGGCTAGTTAGCTGTTGCCACTGTGACCTCGCCATATGGTGAGAGCCACACCATAGAGGGTACCCGGATACCTGATGTCGTGCTTTGTAGCAAAGGTGATTTTTTTTTGAAGCTCTCATCAAATCAGCCAAAAAGACTTACTGATCTCCTTTTACAATAGAAAAAAATGAGTCAATTATTTAACTTTGCATTGATCCAAAGGGAGCATTTCTAAAGTCAAGTATGTGAAAACTGAGTTGTCTCCTGTGTGGTTTTAAAGGCCCTGTCTTTTTGGGAGAAACAATGGGGGTGGGTTAACATTGAGGTTCCAGAAGATCATCTCAGAGCGTCCCAGACCACAGGTATTCTGGTGCATCACTGTCACTTCTGGGCTGTCCTTGGCTGTCTTTGTAGTGCTTCTGTTCTCGGTAGCTCCGCAGGGCCAGCACCACGCTGACACAGTACATGATCACCAGCAGACAAGCAAAGGTGGCTGCTGCTCCGTCGGTGCCCGCCAGCTGGCAGTTCATCCAGGTGAGACCCCTGCGGGCGTAGAGCCTCTCTCTCGTTTTGCAGGTGTCGGTGGAATTGATCTGCAAGGCCGCGTGGAGGTAAACGCCAATGCCTGCGCAGTAGCCCACGGCCGCTAGGAGGCTGAAGGTGGCCTCCGTGAGGAGCCACTTCCCCGACAGTTTTGTTAGTCTTTTGGCTCCTTGGAGTAGAACGCCCATGGTGAGGACACCCAGCCCCAGAGAAACAGCCACGCCGCCGTATATCAGGGGCGCCCGCAGGACCGTGTACTGCTGGTCCAGCTGCCGCACCTGCTCCAGTTCCGTGCCCTCAAACGGTGAGTAATAGTTGTTCCCAAAGCCGCCGCCGATGGTGAAGCTGGCGCTGAATCCAGCAAGGACAAAGTAGGAGGCCACGATGCACATGAGAACCATCGCGTTCAGTAGCACCTCCACTATCTGCACCACACCTAGAAGAGAGATTCGGCATTTAACACCACTCGCCCAGGTCAAACTAGAGAGCTGCCGCTTGTGACCTGATTTTAAAAACATTGTCGATTGAACTTGAACATTCTTGATTTCTTTTTTGTTGTTGTTTTGTTTTTATATACGTTTGAAAACTCAAAATGCCACTCTGGAAAAATTTTTGGCAGATTTTTAAAACTAAGCACTTACCATATGACCCTACAATTGTACTCCTGGGTATTTGTCTCAAAGAAATGAAAATTTACATCCACACAAAAACATGTACGTGAATATTCGCTGTAGCTTTATTTATGAAAGCCAAATATTGGGAAAAACCCAGATGTCCTCCAGTGGGTGAATGGTTAAACCGGTACACCCGCACCATGGAATACTCTATCAGCAATGACAGGAATGAACCATTGATTGGTACATGCAACAACTTGGATGGATCTCGAGGGAGCTGAGTGAAAAAGAACCAGTCTCAAGAGTTACATAATGTTTGAGTCTGTTTCTGTAACAGTCTCAGAGGGACAAAGTTACAGAGATGGAGCACAGATCGGTGGTCACTGGGGGTGAGGGATGAGGTGGGGGAGGGGAACGGGGATGGTGACTATAAAGGGTTAGCATAGGGGTATCCGGGATGATGGGACAGTCTTGGATTTGATTGCGGTGCTGCTCACACAAATCTACACACGAGAGAAAACTGCATAGAACCACACACACACAGGTGAGTGCATGTAACTGGCAAAATCTAAATAAGCTCTAGAGATTGGCACTTTCGTGGTTTTGCTAGTGTACTATAGTAAGGCAGGATGTCATCACTGGAGAAAACCGGGTTAAGGGTACACAGGATTTCTCTGTACTATTTTTGGGACTTCTTGTGAATCTAGATTTCAAAATGAAAAGTTTTTGAAAAATTGAAGTGACATAAGGTCTAAACTGAAAAATTTCACTCATGTCCCCTCTGTTCTCTATCCCCAGCTACTTTCACTGGTTTCTAATGTAAATTTCCAGTGTTCCTTTATGCAAATAAAAGCACATTCAAATCTGCATTTCATCCCCCTTCCCTGTTCTTGTCGCAAGTGTACTATGTGCACTGTTCTGCATCTCGACTTTGTCATTTACTATGTCCTAGAGATGTTTTCAGATCAGTTCCTACAGCTCCATCGTACGGATGGACCAGTCTGTTCACCCAGGATCTACCGACAGATACTTGGGCTGTTACTTATAAGTTCAAGGATCCCAAAAGGCCACAAGGCAGTGGGAGCCAACACGTTAACAGAAACTGAATATCTTCTTGTCCAAGGTCAGCTTTCATTTGTTATGGGCAGAGGTGCCAGACTCAGGTGTACTTCGGGGAGAGGGTCTCCTGCCATTCCCTCAGGGCTCAGAGATGACAAGGAAAAGGAAACACACAAACCTGCTCTCCACCGCGTGTGACCCTGCCCAGGTCATCCAGTCTAACCCTCGGACACTTATCGACAGATGAAGATAACACCTGCCCGTCTTTATCCCACGTGCTGTGGTGAGGCTCAAATGAAAGTGAGTATATGAAAATACTTTGAAAAATCATAAAATGTTATACAAAAAATGGATGGTGCTGCTACTGAGTAACATTATTAACAAATGGAAGGGGATTAGTGAGAAGCTTAAGAAGAAACGGGATGAATTTAGGAAAGGCGTGGTTTCCCCGGAATCATGACAATTCCTCTAATATACAAGGGCGCAGTTCAAGACCAGTGTCCCTAAAGTACGTAGGCAACAGCTACTGCGGTTCCTGATCCTATCTCCTGCCCGGCCCACACAAATTCCTCGCAGTCCGCAGGGACGCAGCAGACAAGGGCTCTGCGAGTGAGAAGCTACATTCCTCTAATTTAAAACTGAAAATAACATCAGACCCAACTGGCCACTCTTCACCCAGGCACTGTAGGCTACTGGTTTACACTCTCTCCCTACAGCAGAGCAAGTGAATTGACCCAGATGTCGTTCTAGCTCATGGGGGTGACTAACCCCCCACACCCAACACCTTCTCTGCTTTGGTTTTCCTTCTGCACGCATGTGCGTATCCTGGCCCCTGAAGTTAAACAGGAATACTGCACTGAAGATACAGAAAGCCGGAACGTTTTCCTTCTGGGATGGGTGTGCCATGTATAGCACATAGGCTGCAATGGGATACATCGAGACCCTGTTGACCACCCGCTGACTAAGACAACTGACAGAAGTAATGGTCGTCTGCTGCGTCCAGTGGTATTGGTTCTACTGAAGGAATATGGCCAGGGAATGTTATTCCAGGAACCGGCCAGGCCTGACCTGGCTTAGCTGTGAATATCCAGCAGGCTCGCTTATTTCCAAGCGTGGTGTCAGAGAAGAAAGACATGCACACGGACCAGGGGAAGAGAAAAAGGGTGACAACTAGAGCTAGCAGTGGTTTGTCTCTGGGTGGGGTAGAACAAGTCTCCAGAAAGAGAGCAGAGGGTGCCAGAGAGGGAAATGAAGACCCAAAACAGACAGGAGATCTTTGTTGCAAATAGCATTGTTCTGGGGTAAGCTGGGGGGTTGATCATTTAATACTCTGCTTAATTATACATCTACTTCTGCCTTTGAACTGTAAATGTGGTCCTGAAAAAAACTGAGGAAAGCAGATCAATTTTATTTTTTATTTTTCTAAAATAAATACATGTGCAGTCAAGCCATGCATAAAGTGAAAAATTAGGCTGGGCTGGGTGGCTCATGCCTGTAATCCTAGCACTCTGGGAGGCTGAGGCGGGAGGATTGCTTGAGCTCAGGAGTTCAAGACCAGCCTCAGCAAGAGCGAGACCCCATCTCCACTAAAAATAGAAAAAATTAGCCGGGCATGGTGGCACATGTCTGTAGTCCCAGCTACTCAGGATGCTGAGGCCAGAGGATGGCTTGAGCCCAGGAGTTTGAGGTTGCAGTGAACTACCATGGTGCCACTGCATTCTACCCAGGGTGACAGAGGGAGACTCTATCTCAAAACAAAACAAAACAAAAAAACAACCAAAAACCAAAACAACAAAAAAAATGAAAAATTAAAATCCTCTTCTCTCCAGAAGCAAAACTGTTAAACCTTTATGTATTCGTCAAGAAATTTTCTGATCATATACAAGCATATATATGTATTTCCTTTTCTAAACCCAAATGGAATTCACCTTTTAAAATGCAACAAATTGTATTTAAGGGAATAATATAAATGTAAAGAGAACCATCATCTGTCATCTCCAAATTAAAATTGTTCTTTCGATTTTTATTGGATTCACGCAAAACAAAAACATTCACTTGTACCCGGAATATACTGTACTGTTCTATAAGTCACAATTTAATATGCAGTGAGAACCCATGAAGTTGTCTGGCTAAAACTGACATTCCCAGCAGAAGCTGGGAGAGATTTTACATTCTTTTACTCTGGATGGATCCTGAATTCCAGATGTTGGGGTTAATTCTTCATACAATGGTACATTTACAAGAGGTACAAAACACTTATTGAGCTTTCAGGGCCACTGTCAGGGGCTTGCAGAATAGCTTCTTTGCAACCCAGCGAATTAATCTGATTCCTCCTTCCTCAGCCCACGCCTACCTTCGACTTAAATTTTACAGGACTAGTCTCCCCATCCCCACAATCCCCACGCCCTCTATCCACAGAATTAAGCAGGTTGGAAGGAATGGAGAGTTCAGTGTGGAAAAACTTGTGGGCTAATCTGCTTAAGACAGCTGTGCTTAGAAAAGTTCAGGCTGAAATGTTGTCTCACGTCTGTGTGGCTTTTCATGAACTTTGAAGATAAGGCTCTTCCAATTCACTTGGTTATCTCCCTTTATTTAATCAAGAAGTGACACTTTGCTGCAGCTTGTGCCTTTTCCCTGTGGGTCTTGGGCTCCAGTTTTTTGTTTTTGTTGATTTTTTTAAAAAAATAACTTCGGCTAGTCCCCCACTAACAGAGGATTCCATCGCAGAACGCAACTCCATGCAGCTGGGAGCTGCCCCGCCACGCCAGCATTGGCTTGTGACTTCTCCAGCGTTGGCAAGTGCCCCCACAAAGCGTTCTTGGGAGAGACAGCAGTTCAGAATAACTTCCATCACATTTGGTAGAACATTTTAAAAAGCCTAAAACTGAAACATTTCTGCTGGCTTCTCTTTTAGCTTCCTGACTTTTCGGTAACCCCTGATGGCCAGGACAGCCCCCAGGGCAAAGACCCCAATGCCAAGGGCAGCAAAGATGCCAGCTCCTATATCTCCCCCGTGGAAACTGCAGCCGAAGCCACTGTAGCCTTTGCTCTGGTACAGCGCCTCCCTCTCCTTGCACACAGGAGAGCTGTAGGCATCGGAGAGGTAGTGGAAGTAGAAGTACAAGGCGGGAACGTACCCCACAGCGATGAGCACGTCCAGCAAGCCTTCGATCACCAGCCACAGTGGACAGTGCCACGGGACTCGCAGGACACCTGCGACGACCAGGAGGCAGGAAAAAGCCATGAGGGCTCCGCTGTAGGCCATTGCCGCGGTGACTGTGGGCAGCTTTAGCTGGTAGAACTGGACATCCAGCTGCTGGGCTTTCTCCCCGTCTGCACCATCGAAACCACTGTACGCCCCTCCGAACTGGTAGTAGTAAATGCCCCCCAGGCTGGTGATGCCCGTGTAGCCCCCCGTGGAATTGTAAGACACAGCGCTGCAGGCCAGGATCAGCAAGTTCAAGAGAACCTCCAGCAATTGGCAGCAGGCTGCAAAAAAAGGGTGTGTTACCGTGTTGAGAGGTGCTCCTTTGTACTCGGAGACTCTTCCACCTGGAGGGTCACCTTCCCTGCAGTAGCTCATCCTGCCGGCTCTGCCCCCGTGCACGGCCTGAGCACCCACTGCAGCGCAGTAGCATTAGACAGTAGCAGGGGACTGTGGGCTCCAGAAATGGTGTTAGAAATACTACGGGCCGAGAGGAGTCACTATCAAAAGAGCGAAGCAGCCTGCCCCAGGAGAGGTTCAGGCAGATGACGGGAGGAGCAGGCCAGTGATCAGAAAGAAAGGCATCCTATACGGAAGGGCAAGAACATCCCACCCCCGCCTCTCCCCACCAAAAAGACTAAAAAAGTTACCACCTCTTTATATCTGTTTTGTGGCTATTCCAATTTGTAAGAGGAGAGTTCTCCAAGTTTGAAGAAAATCACAGAGCTTAAAAAAGATGATGTTAGAAAAAAGCGTGGAAGTTAAACATCAAAAGATTAATGACGATTTGCATGTATTAGGAAGAGAAAATATTAAGTAAAGCCATAATGCTTACCAAGTAAAAAAAAACTTATTTGTCTTACCGTTCTTAGACTTTAACTCAATAAATATGTTATAAAGTTTAATGTTGTTTTCTTTGGTTTCCCTACAGAGTACATCTGGGCTGTGCTATATTCCCACAACTGGGTTCTTTTGGGACCCCTGGCTTCTCTATTGTGGATGGCAAAACTGGCTGCTTTCAGTTTATATTTATATTTATTGAAATATAACTTAGACACAACAAAATGACCCACGTCAAGCATACAGCCTGATGAGTTTTGACAAATGTATGTACCATGTAACCACCATCTAGATACAGAACATGCATCGTTAGCCCAGAAACTTCCCTGGTAATGCTTTATAGTCAATTCCTCACCTTCCTTCTCAGCCAACCCCTGGTCTGCTTCCTCTCCTTAGAAATCAGTTTTACCTTTTCTAGGATGCCATGCAAATGGAATCCCATGTTTAGGTACCTTTTGTGTCCAGCTCCTTTTGCTCAGCACGATACACAACTGGGTGTTTCTGAGCCGCAAACTGTACGTGCTGGAACAGTGCTGGCTTCATTGGCTCTATGGGATTGATCTGTCAACATCTCCCTGGTTTTAGATAACCAGGTTTTACGCTTGGTTCCGCTTGGGCTACTTACGAAGCTGTGCTACGTCTCCACATTCTCTAATTGAAATGATGCTCTCTCAAGCATTATTTTTATACTCTGTAATTTTCTCCCAAAATGCAAACGGTGTTTGTTTTTTTTACTTACAAAAGTTACACTTACTTATTGTTTAAAAAGAAAATGTAGACAAAAAATATAATGTAAAAATTGTCTATAATCCAACCAATTAAAAAAAACACTGTGAACATTATGTATTTTTTCTGAACTTTTCTAGCATATATTTGTAATTTTTGTTGTTTGTTTGCTTTTAGGTAAGAACAGGGTCCTACTCCATCTACTATTGTGTAACTTATTCTTTCATTATCAATATAGTGTGAATATTTTTCTAACTCGGTAAATATAAATACTTTTCTATCTCAGTAAATATAAATCTACTTCACAAGTTTAAAGGATTTATAGATTACCACAATTAATTTAAGTCATTTCACTGTAAAGGACATATAGGCTTTTCCAGGGTTTTGCTATGTGGGAGAATTTCTTTCTTTCTTTGTTTTTTTTTAAAGAGACAGTCTCACTCTGTCTGGAGTACACTTGCACGATCGTAGCTCACTGCAATCTCAAACTCCTGGGCTCCAGTGATCTTCCTGCCTCAGCCTCCCGAGTAGCTGGGACTATAGGTGCGTGCCACCGTACCTTGCTAATTGTTTTACTTTTTGTAGAGTCAGTGTCCCACTATGTTGCCCAGGTTGTCATCCTCCCACCTCAGCCTCCCAAAGTGCTGGGATTACAGGTGTGAGCCACTGCAAGACCCCGTCTCTACTAAAAATAGAAAAAATTAGCCCGGCTACTCAGGAGGCTGAGGCAGGAGGATCACTTGAGCCCAGGAGTTTGAGGTTGCTGTGAGCTAGGCTGACGCCACAGCACTCTAGCCAGAGCGACAGAGCAAGACTCTGTCTCCAAAAAACAAAAAAATCTTTGGGTGACCTTTATCTGGGCATGTATTTCCTGCTGGAGACAAGTTCCTGGTGTTAATGCCTGTTTCTCTGAACACAATACTGCACTGTGTATTTATGCAGGTCCCTGCACATCCAGGGTTCTTTACAAGCCCTCATTTGTGAGCTTCCCACTGCTGAACCAGCCTTTCACTGCCTTAACTTCGAAAGCCGACCTCCAGGCTCAGAGCCAAACAGCCAGAAGCAATCAGGCTAAATCAAGGTGTGTTTTCATCAGAAGCCTCAAGCCCTGCCCTCTCCTCAAGGTAAACCAGCCACAGAAGAAAAAATATCTCTGTAATCCTAGCACTCTGGGAGGCCGAGGTGGCAGGATTGCTTGAGCTCAGGAGTTCGAGACCAGCCTGAGCAAGAGCAAGACCCCATCTCCACCACAAATATAAAAATTAGCCAGGCATCATGGTCTGCTCCTGTAGTCCCAGCTACTCGGGAGGCTGAGGCAGGAGGATCACCTGAGCCCAGGAGTTTGAGGTTGCTGTGAGCTAGGCTGATGCCACGGCACTCTACTCAGGGCAATCAATGGAGCGAGACTCTGTCTCAAACAAAACAAAACAAAACAATCTCTCTGGAGAAACGTGTTAACTAGCCTCTGGCTTATGCCTGTTATTTATATCATCAAGAAAGGAAGGACGGTCTCGAGTAAACCATTTGAGGCCTTAAAGTCAGGCTCTAAGTTTCAATTCGGCTCTTTCACTTAATAGCTGTGTGACTTTGAGTAACTTACTGTACTTCTCTGAGCCTCAGGAGTTGTCGGGAGAATTAAAGGCAATGAGGTTGTGCCAACGTATGTAACCTAGAGTGATGATCCTGGTACCTAGATAGCCTAGAGCCCTTTCATCAAGTTTCCTATAATCCCATAATCACGTACATCTTTGTAATCATCCTAAAAGACATTTGCAGGTATGAACGCCGTGATTTCTCTCCCTGAGGCTGGGATGTTTTCTCCCTTAGTCACATGGAGCAGAGTGTAAGAAAATTTCTCACTAAATCACGTGAGCTGTAAGGGCTCACCCTGACAAACCAGATTTTCTTCATTGCCGCACGGAACAGATCCCAGGAAGCCACATTTGAAGTGCACACATGATAAAATCTAAGTATTTTTCAGACTGCAGGTCTTGAATGAGTATGTCTTTTGTTTGTTTGTTTTTAACGAAACAGAATAGAAAATAACAGAGCATTTGGTATGTAATAGGCTAAGTATAGTTTCATTTTTGTTTTTCTGTGTGTGTGAGTGAAGTTGGTCTTAATGTAAAATACATTTCTTACTGTGAATCTCAGTCAGTAAGGTTGAAACGCCATTGACAGAGTGTTTGGGCATCAGGTTTGCTCCTGTCCGTGTGGCTTGAGCTGCAACCTGGCTGCTGCTCCAGGCGATCTTTCCTTTCTGCTAACTCAGGCCGCCTTGCCAGGGGAGCGCCCTCCGCTAGCTCCCGGCCACGTGCACCTGCAGGCGCCGTGGTTCCAGCCCGAACTTGAAATGTGAACACGAGGCCGCCTGCCTCTCCGGTCCCGGGGTATGTTTGAGGAGAAGCACAAGACGTTCCTGCCTTTCTCGTTTTCAGGAAACAAGAGCCTCATGCAGGTAAGCAACCCAAAATGCTAGGAACCCAAAAGGGGTTCCAGCTCAGACCACCCCTTCTAGAACCACCAGCGACAGCAAATGTCAAACTGCCTCCAAAATGGCTCACCTCTCCCCGTGCACAAGTATTTGCATTTATGGCATTCCAGGAGTCCTTCCGCCTCTGACTGGTAATACTCCACTTCGTCTTGTCCAGGCCTGGAGTTCGAGGACAGATACCTCCCTGAAGTGGGTTCACTGTAACCAGAAAGCATACATGGCCATTAGGGGGCCTCCAACCCAATAGCTCATTCAGTATCAGAACTCTAGACTCCTCATGCTACGCCTAAACATTAAAGAACGTGCAGAACAGAAACAAAATTCGCCACAGTACTGCATACTCTAGAGAATTCTCTGGTTTAGTGACCCCACAGGGCATCCAAACACTTGGCCCAACTCCGCTAACTAACCACGTGACGGATCCTATAATCCTGTCTGCGGGAGCTGTCTAGCCAGCTAGCTGTGGGCTGCCTTCCTTGTGAGCTGAAGTTCCCAGTTCAGCATGGACCAGGCTCTTCCAAAACAGTTGGCATGCATGTGACTCTGATGCCCAGCTGGCGTTCTCTTCCTGCCCTTACTTTGGCAAGTGCTCAGTCAGCAACAATTCTCCAGGCGTGTGGGTGCTACAGGCAGCCTTTGGCATTTTCCTATTATTTCTTCCTCTGCCAACCCCGACATTTTCTGTTCCTTCTTTTTCACCTTTATGCAGCACATCCTGGGCTTTGTCCAAGATTCAACAGGGAGCTGCATTCTACTAGCTGGTCTCCAGAGATCTTTCAAGAACATCATGTCTCTTAGGATTGAAATTCTTAAAATTTTTAGCACACACTGGAGGCCCTTTCTCATCTCTTTACACTCTCCACCGCACAGACCCAGCCACAGTGAACTGTCCCCTTCCCCCCAAAAGATGACCTGCTCTCCCATGCCTCAGAGTCACTGCAGAAGTTAGTCCTCTGCTTGGAACACCTTTCCTCCTCCTCCCTGAGCTGTCCCCTTCTCCTTGTACAGAACTCAGCTTTGAGGTTATCTCCTCCAGAAAATTTTCCTGGGCCTGGTCAGAAGCCCAGCTTACAGCGGTGCTACAACGGCCCGTTTATCTGTCGGTCTCCTACGCCACACTGTGAACACCCTGGAAGTGGATCTCTCTGGCTCACATCCCTGCAACCTGTCCATTAAATAAATGCTTAAGTGGAGGAAAACCAGAAATAAATTACCCTTTGGTTTCAAACCACCAATGGGCTGTGAGCAAAAGAAGCAAAAAGCAAGAGTATTCCCTACACTTACTTTGGGGTGGGGGGAACTGGGACACTGGTTTATAAGGAAACTTAGAAACGTAGCTCTGGACACCCCCAGGTTGTGCAGTTGCGGTGCACTGTGGCTTTAGTCGGCATAGCTACTGCCTATGACTGTGTCTGGGCGCACCCTTTGTCCTGCTAGTTGGTTTTAGATAATGTAACATAAACTCAGCATAGTAGCTTTCCCGCTGTGTGGACACAACAGGGAGAGAGACTGGGCTAAGCCACCAAGTCCCATAGCAGAGGGGAGCCTCACTCCTCCTCAGAAAAGAGGCCAGGTTTCAAAAGCCAGAAGCAGTCATCACTCCAGAACCTGAGTGTCTCCTTGTTGGAGCCAGAAGGGGCAATATCCCGACTATTCACAGTTCTCAGCTCTCTGCACGTCATCTGTGCATTCAGCAGACGGAAAAAAGACCAGCTCCCTGGTATGCGTGTGTGTGTGTGTGTGTGTCTGTGCGTGCCAGGCTCCCTCTCATCTCCCCTTCCAGCCCCAGCTCACACAGTCTTCCAGAGTGTCCGATGCTTTCTCCTCCCAAGGGCTTATGGGAATTCTTTGTGCTCTACAAGGCAGGGGTGGCAAAGTTTGTTCATTCGGGAGGGTAGGGTCTCAAACAATCATGGGATTTCAGTGCGGCTGCCTAGAAAGACCTCACTGACAAAGGGGAAACCAATCCGCGCCCTTCCGTGGGGCATTTTAGGTGTACTTAGTTCTGTGGCTATTAAGTGTAGCTTCCGCCACCTGTCTGTGTGGGAAATGCATCTACCCCTGGGAGGGCGACACGTTAAACTGTTAACTCTTCATTGGGCTGACTTTATTAGGCCCTGGCCACCGGGGAAGAGGACTTAGAAGTCGCCGGAGGGCTGATTTTGGAACACAGGACAAGCTCTAAAGCCCCACGGGGCAGTCCTGTGACCAGGAGGGGGAGAGTCAGGGAGGAGCCTCGGGTTACCCCCACCTACCTAACCTCCTCCCCACGCCCTCTCTTTCCCGGACCGAGACCTGTCTTCCTCTTCACCTGCCCCCGCCCTGCCACTGCTAACCGGGGTGGGTCACCACAAAGTTTTCCCTGCCGGCCAGGTCACCTCTGAGAGCGCACCAGGGGGAAATGGCATCTCTTTCTTTACAGCGGCTTCCTAGGACAAGCGGCGCAGCTGGCCTTCCACCCAGGCCCGCGCCCCCAGCCCCGCCTCACCTTTCGGGTCCGCGGCGCCCGAGGCCCTCCTTCCACAGGGGCGGCGGCTCCGGGGCTGCGCCAGGCGCGGGCCAGGGCTGCGGGGCTGCGTCCCGCGTCCGGCTTTGGCGGGACTCGCCCCAAACTCTTTGCTCGCCTGCGCGGTGGGCCGCGTCCCTGCGTCTGTCCCGGCGGGGGTCTCGGTCCCTCTCTCTGTCCCGGTCCTCTCGCCGGTTCCCGTCCCTGCGCCCGTCCCTGTTTCTCTCCCTGTGCGGGTCCCGGGGTCTGTCCTGCGATCGCTCGCGGTGGCGGTCTCGGTCTGCGGGGGTGCGCCGGTCCGGGTCGCGCTCTCTCGGCCGGGCCCGGGGCTCGCGAGTCCCCGGCGTACCTTCCATGGCCGGATTCCGTGACCCCGCCCGGGAGCGACCCGAGGGCAACAACCAACCACAAGTTTCCCAGGCAGGTGTCCGAGCCCGGAGGCGGGGCGGAGCAGGACGGGCTGCTCACCTGTGCGCACGCGCGCTAGCCCCGCGGCCAGCCCCGGGAGCGCGCACCTGAGCGCGCCGGCAGGGGGCGCCCCTGTACGCATCTCGGGGTCTGGCGGGGGTTGGGGGTATGTGTTGGGGCAGGGATTGGGGTATCGCTGCTCTAAACCAGGGGCGGGGACAACCGACGGTCGTGGCCCATCCGCCCCGAAGTATCCCGTTGGTGACACCGCAAGGTGGGTGGCCTAGGGAAGCCAACTCTGGCCACCTGCCGTGGCTCAATTTACACAGCACCTTGGGTTTGCTTTCCCAGAGGGTACCCCCATCCACTAGCTCATCCATCCATCCACACATCCAGCCTCCCACTCAACCGTCCACCCACCCATCCACCCACGTTTCCACCCAGCCACCCACACACTCACTCATCCACCCATCCATCCACCCATCCACCCATCCATCCATCCCTCACCCATCCATCCATCCATTCACCCATCACCCATCCATCCACCCCTCACCCATCCACCCACACATCCACCCACACATCCACCCATTCATCCCCTCATCCATCCACCCATCCACTGTCTCTCTTTCCCTCCCTCTCCTGCTATACTTACACAGCTATACTGTAGAGAGCTTGGGGCCAGGTCATCTATTGGAACAGTCCGGACTTACAAAATGTTTTTTAAAATGGGGAACCACATAGAATTGGCAGCTTTTTATTTTGCCAAGGAAGGATATAAAATTGCCATCTGTTGTTTAATTCTTTCAACAAATATGTACGAGCACATTTTAGCAGGCGCTGGAGATCCAGTGGGAACTCTCCTTGTGTGGTGCTTCTGCTCTAGTGTGTGGGGAAAAGGGAAAACAAGGAATGACCAAGGAAAGAGGACAATGTCTAAAATATAACCAGAAGGGCAGGTTTCTTTAGAGAGATCTGAGAAGATGACATTAGAACTGAGTCCTGGATGATAAAGAGGCAGCCTTGGGAATGGCTGCGAAAACATTCCAGAAAGAGAGAAGGCTGAGTCCTGCAGGAGCCACTGTGAGTAGTGGGGCAGGAGATGAGGCTGAGTGAGTGGAACGGGCAGATGGAGTAGGGTCTCTGCGGTGGCGAGTCTGCATTTTTATTCTAAGACCAATGGAGGACATTGAAGGGTTTTGAGCAGGAGGGTGACTTGCTCTGGTTTACATTTTAAAAAGATCATTCTGGCGTCTTTGAGGAGGATGGACCAGAGGGGCCAGAGACAAGAGACAAATGGAGGGAAGAGATAAGTTAGGAAGCTACAGAAGGAACCCAGCTAAGCGGTGGTGGTGGCAGCCATGGGGTTGGTGAGGAGTGGACAGATCCAGATTGTTGTTTTGCAGAGGAACTCATAGGACAGATTGGATGTGGGGAATGGGGGAAGGGAGAAGCAGCTGGGTGGGTGGTGGGATTGTTACTGAGATGGGGAAGACTGGAGAAAACTGGGTTTGGGGGGAAACTGGAGAGTTCCATTGTGACGTGTTAAATCTGAGGTGGCTATGATTCATCCAAGTGTGGGTGTCTAGTTGCAGGTGGACCTGTGAATCTGGGGTGCAGGGAGAGGGCTAGGCTGGAGACACTCTGTGGGAGTAAAGGAGCTCACCAGAGGCAGGAGGGAGGCAGGAGGGAGAAGGCCCTGGGCAGAATCCCTGGGAGACTCTACCATTTAGAGCTCAGAGAGGACTGAGAAGAAATGATGAGTGAGGTGGAGGGAAACCAGCAGAGTGGGGGCAACCTGACACCAACCTGCATCCCACAGAAGTGCTGCTCTGGGCTCCACAGACTCTCTTCGCAGGGCGGAGAGGATGGGGCCAAATTCTAGAACCTTCCGCAGATATTGAGCAAAGCCCTGTTCTGATCCCCAACAATGATGGCTATAGAGGACCTGCCTGGTGAACAAGCAGGGTGGTTTGGGTGGTGGCACGGTCCTTCTTCTCCCAGACCTTCCCTCTGCACCTCTGGAACCCTCTTTCTGAATAAATAAACCTTCATATCAGCTCACCTTTTTGTTTCATTTCTCTTTGTTTTATATCTTTTGTTTTTTTTTTTTTTTTTGAGATAGAGTCTCACTCTGTTGCCTGGGCTAGAGTGCCGTGGCGTCAGCCTAGCTCACAGCAACCTCAAACTCCTGGGCTCAAGCAATCCTCCTGCCTCAGCCTCCCAAGTAGCTGGGACCACAGGCATGCACCACCACGCCTGGCTAATTTTTTCTATATATTTTTAGTTGTCTGATTAATTTCTTTCTAATTTTTAGTAGAGACGGGGTCTCGCTCTTGCTCAGGCTGGTCTCAAACTCCTGAGCTCAAACAATCCGCCCGCCTCGGCCTCCTAGAGTGCTAGGATTACAGGCATGAGCCATCGCGCCTGGCCTGTTTTATATCTTTATCTTGATATATAAATTATTATTTTGCCATATAAATTATCATTTTGCCACATTTATTCCTTGTCTTTCTCTCTACAGATATAAACTTTTTAATGAATGAAACATTTAAGTGTAACTTCCAGACACATGACTCTGCCCCCTAAATACCTCGACATGTATCTCCAAAGAACAATGTTGTCCTACATAGTCACATTACACTGATCACAATCCCGAAATTTAGCATTGATACAATATTATCAATATACACTGTACACCTAAATTCCCCTATTGTTTCAATAATGTCCTTTATGTTTACTTCCCCCCTTTAAGTCCAAGGATTCAATGAAGGATTATTCATGGCATATGAATAACGTCATTGTCATGTGTCTGTAGTCTCCTTCAAGTGTCCTTCAACCTACCACAGTTTCTCAACCTTTTTTCCTCTTTCACAGCATGGACACTTTGGAGAGTCCAGTCCACCTATCTTTTCAGACTGACTCTCAACTTGAGCTTGTCTGATTGTTTTCTTATGATTAAATTCAGGTTAACATTTTTGACAGGCAAACTAAAATAAGTGATGTTGTATCCTTCTTGGTACCTCCTATCATGAGACACAAGCTGTGTTTGTCTCATTATGTGATGTGATGTTACATTTGATCACCACCCTTGGGTAGGGTGATGTCTGCCATATTCTCCATTTTAAAAGTACCATTTCCCATTTTTGTATTTAATAACTTCCAGACTCTATGTTTCCCCACAACCTTTCTTGCCTAAATCAATTATTACGATGTTGGTTTCAAAACTGAGGTTTCTAATTCTATCAATCCTTCTGTTTTTATAAATTTATTGATATTTGTCTATAAAGAATAGTTTTCCCTTCTGTTTATTATGATCACCCCACAGAAAGAGTTTGGACGCCGCCACCTAAAATTTGGTTCCAATACTGAGACTGATGCCAAAAACATACCAAGAGGGTATGAAAGTGTTTATTACTGACATAATGAGGCTTTCTGGGGATGGCAAGGCAGGCTTCCCAATAGGTCTGAAAATGGCTTGAGAAAGCAGGAGGGTGACTGGCTTCGGGGTTTTACTTCGGTTAGGATTAGCACTGGAGTTCCTGTATGTGGTCTGGGACCTGCGTGGTGTGAACTTCCTGTCAGTGCCACGGGCATACCTGGCACACCTGGGCTGTCTTATTAGCTCACCCACATATGGGATAAAAAGGGAAGGGGAGCGTGGGGAGCACGGGGCTTCAGGGCTGTCAGCAGTTAGGCATCAGAAATGGAGGCAAACTATTATATTATCTCTGTAGACTCATCATTTTTTCCTAATAATGTGTTAGAATCCATTAATGTTTTTGTTTGTTTTTCTGATACTTAAAATTGCCCAAACTTGGACAGTGGGAATCCCTTTGAGCTGCCTGTGTTCTTTTGACATCAGAGTTGCCCTGATATGCCTATCAGTTTTTATGACTTCATCTTGTAAGTCCCGGACTGTTGCAATAGATGAACTGGCCTCAAGCTGCCTACAGTATAGCTGTGTAAGGACAGCAGGAGAGAGGGAGAGAGGGACAGTGGATGGATGTATGGATGAGTGGATGAATGGGTGGATGTATGGGTGGATGGGTGGATGGATGGTGGATGGATGGGTGGATGTGTGGGTGGATGGGTGGATGGATGGTGGATGGATGGGTGGATGTGTGGGTGGATGGGTGGATGGAAGGTGGATGGATGGGTGGATGTGTGGGCAAGTGGGTGGCTGGATGAATGGGTGGATACGTGGTGGATGGGTGGGTGGATGAGTGAGTGGGTGGAGGGATGGATGGTGGGTAGCTGGATGGATGGTGGGTAGCTGGCTGGATGAATGGGTGGATACGTGGTGGATGAGTGGGTGGATGGGTGAGTGGGTGGAGGGATGGGTGGATATGTGGGCAAGTGGGTGGCTGGCTGGATGAATGAATGGGTGGATACATGGGTGGATGGATGGGTGGATGGGTGGGCGGATGGTTTTGGGTACACGCAATGGCATTTGGGGGCGGAGAGTTTACTTTCCGCATCTGGTTTGTCCAGTGGTTTCCCTCAGCCTGCCTCTGTGAAGGAGACAGGCCTTCAGGTATGTGGATCAAGGGGAAATCCTCACATATTACCTATGTGATCTCCTGACACTCCTCCCCTTCTGGAATATCCTTTGCTTGTTGTCAGTCCCCAGACTGCAGCTCTGGTGGCAGAGGGGACTTCTGGCTGGGTGGGGTTAGTTCCCACACAGGGGCTCTGGACTGGAAAGGAAGCCTGCAGGGAGGGCAGCGCTGGCCAGCAGGGGGCAGCACAGGCTCAGGCTGGGACCACCCAGCCACTCTGGCAGGAGGGGAACGGGCCCACACCGTGCCCCCTTCCTCAGTCTGAGTATTTCCTCACCCATCTCTGTCTGGGTGATTAGAGTTCTCATCACAGATGTGATAGAATGCCTGGAATTCAAGTTCAGTATTTCCTGAACTTTGCATACTACATAGGTGAGCCTGGGAAGTTACTCAACCTCTCTGTGC